ATTTCAGTATTCTAAACAGAGGTATTTTGAATGACATGGTAAGGTCTTACATTTCTCAGATATTGGTTCTAATTAACAAGACAGTGATATTTTATGTTTTTCAGTGATTTTTTTAGGAACAAGTTCGTTGTCAGGCTGCATGTGGTAACAATGCATAACACAAGCAGTATATTAGACAGGGATCATTGCTGAAGCACACAAGGTTATAGCTTATTAATGTAACAAATTAACAGGGTTCAACAAAGAGATCACTACAGAACAGAGAACTAGTGATTATTTTTCAACCTCATTATTTTCTAGATAAAGATGCTTACTTTTTCAAGGTAGGTGTAGCTCCATGTCTTTCCATCTGCAAATATCTTTGAGGTGATTCTCCCATTTAGGTCATATTCCATTCGGACTGACATAGTGCCCCTCTGAATGCCGGCGATGTGGCCGCCCTGTGAGTAGGTAACATTGACACCGTTTAGCCGACTACTTGGTGCCCACAAAGTAGGTCTTCCTGCATGGTCATAGTGGATCCTCAAGGTGAACTTCCTGTGGTCGTCATAGACTTTCTCGGTCCTGGTTACACGGTCAAAATCCATGGATAACAAGTTCCTGTTATGAACCTACCAAAAAAAGGAAGATAGGAAGTTTAGGCCTCTGAATTCTACACATGGATTTGATAGGATCTACCGTAGTCTCTGAACGTCTCTACTTTCATCTTCATACCTCTAAAGGACACAAGCTTTTTAACTGACTGATTTCTTTGTTTGCTGCTTGTTAAAACAAAAAGAATGAGAGAAGCTCTCAGTTTCATATAATCTTTTGTCATGCCTTTAAGGAAGGAATTATTGAGGGGTAGATAGCTTACACTGTATTTGCAGGAAGAGGAAAACAATGACACTTGAGGTGCATATGAAGGCCCACTACATTGTTTGAATGACATGTCATACTGAGTTTTTGGCTCATTTTGAATGTGCAGAGTCCTCTGACCCCGGAACATGCTGAGATCAGAGCTGAGAACTAGTTCTACATGGCTGGTAATCCCAAAGGCACACACAGGTCGATGCGGGGGGGCGATCAAGGATTTAGAGACCTTAATACCTTCACCCCTTGGCACAATGCACTAGAATCTTTATTGCTGCGATGTGAATTTAGGTACTAGTGGATAATATGGAGCATCCAGACAGACCTAACTGAATGTTAACATTGTATTAGCATGCCCACAAAATACCTACAGTTTCGATACTTTCACGTTAAGAATTAAAATGCAGATATAAAGAGAGTACTACTTTGACTGGTAACAGAAAGTACTATAACATTGGCAAAAATATTTCATAAGCATGCTTATTAGCATGTTTCGAAATCTGGCATGAATACAAACTCAAATATTTTGACATAAAAATTTCTGATAATGCAGATTTAGAGTGTGCCAGCCATTTTTTTCCCCCAAGCCACTTTGTGATATTATAGCTACAGGGTTGCATGAGTGTTGACTAACGTTTGGGCCAAACAGTCTTCAAAATGCATTATAATTAAACAGTCATTTCCACATATCTCTTCTCATTGTAATGTCTCCTTGATTGATCTTGTTTTTTCTCATCAGGTACTCTGGTACCTGGCTTGGCTCACTGCTGACAAAGCTTAACAGAGTCTTAAAGTGATTTTGAGAGTTGTTGTTGGCTTTGGTCCAATGGTATGGTGGACAAGGCGGGGGGAGAACGGCAAGCAAACTCTCTTTCTCTCCTCCTCATGGGCATGCTGGGAGCTCTCATCTGTGAAGGGACAATTACACTGGGGCCAATTAATGTCACTAATACCTAATTGAGAGGATTATTTTACATTAAAAGCAAGCAGCTCAGGAATAGGATAATTCCCAGTGGGGGTGACAGAACAAAGAGGTTGACAGAATAAAGGGCAGATATTTTTCCCTCCTCACTCCTTTAAGCCTCACCCACCTACTGATGAATATGGCCCCTATTTCTCTCTCTCCCTTTTTCAAATACAGCTTGACTCTTTGATTTGAAGATGCCAAGATTGAGAACGTGCCCTGAAAACACTCACATCTGAACTAGTCTATCTATCCATCCATCCATCCATCCATCCA